CCCCCCCCCCCCCCCAGCTACGCCACTGCTCATATATATAATTCACTTTGAATTATTTAGGCATTGAAACATCTAACTTCGACCGTTATAGGTTTGAATATACTTACTTATTGTTAGTATTTAATTTCATTACAGTCTTAATAAAATTATTTATTATTGTAATTGATAACATTATTTTACTTTATTTTAAAAAGAACAAGCATACTTTATATTTATAGATAATTATAAATAAAATAATCATTTGTGCAAAATCTATACTAAAAGGATATACGTATAAAGTAAATATGAAACAGACTTACACTAGTAAATCGTTCCAAGGATAAAGTCATTATCTTTCCAACTGTAATTGTTAACTCATTTTGCGACCTCATTATCAAAAACAATATAATTCGATTGGTTCTATAATCTGATTCGTACCAGAGGGAAGCGTAGGCAGCATCTCCGATGCTTTTACTCTATTAAATAATCATTCTAATATAACATTTATATATGTACAGATTGTTAATTGGCAAATATCTTTAGGAAGAAAGATGAGAAAACATATTTCAGATGAAAGTGAAACGGTTTTGTGGGAGATGTTTATTTTAGTCACGTTTGCGTTTTTTCATATAGGTATCAAAACGATATAAAGGTTACTCTACTTTTCTAAATGGAATTATATGATTTTTTATTTAATAATATAATTTCTCTAATTATTCTGTATATGAAAATATTAAAATGTAAATATAAATAAAACCATTAGCTTATAAGATATTTTATACCATATTCTGGCATACATTGACATAAAATATTAAATATTTCATACACTACATTTTAATAACCGTAAACTAATATTTTCATGAACAAAATAATTTAAAAAATAATATTTCGTAGAGAAATTATTTAAAAAGTGGGGGTGACCTTCATATCTTTTTAATCTACCCACCTATAAAAAAACAACGTGAATAAAATTCGTCCTCTCGAAATAGTTCAACTTTTATCTGAAACACTTTGTACGTATCTTACGTTTTTTCAAGACATTTGTCTGGGATAATTGAAATGGGATTCTGTATATAAATGTGGCTGTGTATATATATATATATATGTGTGTGTGTGTGTGTGTGTGTGTGTGTGTGTGTGTGTGTGTGTGTGTGTGTGTGTGTATACAAACAATTATATAATAATATTATAATATCGTGATTAATATAATCGTTCTGATGTCTAACCTTAGCGCTCAAGTATTCTCCAGCAAAGCAAAATACAAATGCTTCCATATTCATGACGAAGTAATATAAAAGAACACTAATTATATTTTTTAAAACGTCAGGTCTACCGATGGACTGGAATATTGAGAAACATTGTAAGAGCAACGGAAAGGTAACAAAATGCTGACTAATTAAATGTGCACAAAATAGTTCTCCTTCATTCTACAAATTCAACAGCGGTTCCTATAGTGTATATTACTCTTTACTGTGATTTAAACAAAATTATAATACTTACCGCGACAATTGTAGAACCTAAGCAGCAGATAATTAGTGTATCCGATACGAAGAGTACCATCGCGATATACGAATACAGACGTTCAATATGTTCTAAGAAGGTAATGATTTTCTGATGTTTTTTTATTACTTCATTTACCGTGAAATGACTCGAGCTGTCCTTGTCTTTCTTCGGAACAATTCCCTTCAAATTCTCACGCAGAATATCGATTTGACCGCCTATATGCAATATCTAAAATGTATATATTCTTCTGAACTACTGTGCTAATCAATGTTGAGAAAAAATGTTTTAATGCATAAATTTAATTAATACCGTACAAAATATTTTAAAATTCAAAAAGCAGCATATGACAGAATGGCCTATATATTATTTTTTATAATAGGGGCAATAATCAAACATTCAATCAATAAATTAATTTTAATTGATCACAAATTATTAAAATATCAAGATATTAATTTTATGAATAATAAAAATAATACATAGAACAATATCTACTTACATAATAGAACTTACCAGATTTATGAGTAAAGCATTGAATAAACCCATAACGATGGAACACAGCAATAAATGAAGAAATTGGATAATTATGACAGATCCATATACAAATCTTTGATTAGTGTCAAATGGCAGATCCATCTCTACAATGAGCAACAGTGTGGAAACATTGGAAGCATTGCCATCCATGTGTTTTACAAAGATCTTGGTGCTAAAAAGAATTACAGCTGTCGAATAAAGAATCACCGTCATGTTAACGAAGCGTTCTGACAGTTTAGCATTGTATGTCGCAAATATACTGAATTTTGTACTGGAACGCTTTTCCCAGTCAATCGCCATGATAGTTAATATGTTATTGAATGTTCTACAAATAGTTTTATTGGTTATAATCATGATAACTGCCACAATGAAGCATTATACAAATCATCGATGAAAAATGTATCGTTATATAATAACTGTCGAAATGTGTGTCCATTTGTCTTTTATTTTTGCATATAATAATTTGTTTAATACAGTAATTGTTTTTAGTTCTTTTAACGTTTGCAATTGCCGAATAAATCACTTTACAATCCAAAGTGATAATCGTTGAAGTAAGACGTAATTAATGCTAAATTTATTTAATTAATTTAATTCCGATAAATTAAATAATGTTTAAAAGAAATTTTTCACTGATAGTATACTTATACTATGTGTCTCACCACTGCGTATCTCACCGCTGTTTAGACCAAAAAACGATGAGTACAATAAAAAATCTCGTCATCGTCACTGCTAAATTTATAATCATTATTAAGTCGAAAAGCTCCATCAAATGAAAATGTTTTACAATGTATCGATATTGACCAATTTGCTCGAATACGGTCAAAATAGTCCAGAACAGTCTACGTAACAAAACGAGCGACGTGTTCGGCCAAATACCAAAGATACGAAACATAATTTCTGTAGCTGGACTAACAGTATTCTTTACTTTCATATTTATATTATTATTGCTATCTTATTATTTTGCACTTGTTAATATCGAATCCGGTAAGAGAATAAAAAAACAGGGGTATTACGAAAAACACTTGATCGATCGTACGATGTAGTGTCTTTGTACAAACCGAGAGCTTGAAAGAGAATGAGAGTGGAGGACACCCTCCCACGAGTCATAGCTTATTAAATATTTCGATCGCAATGAGGAAAATGGTGTGTATATTATCGATAAATAAAGAAATTTCCGGATGATCGACCTTCTCCCTCTGGAATTCTTGGGCGAAACGTCGGTGTAGCTCATAATGCATTCTTTTTTTTTTTAAATTCAAGCAAGAACAGTTAGCATCACGCATTCACAGGACGTTAAACTGTGCTCGGTGACCGTAAGAAAAGTTTTGTATATCCGTGAATAAGGGAGAAAGAGGGTGGAGTAAGTTTTTCTTTTCTGAGAATTTATTTCCTCTATATTGGAAGAGAGATATTCTTCCTCGCGCATTATGTAAGTGCGGCTAGTGTGCACGCGTTCACAATTCATTCTTTCGAAATATGTAAATCGCATAATTTTTTAAGAAGCTCTGATGCACTTCAGATACAGATTGCGTGCAATGATCGTGAATAAGTAAATCAGAAGCAGGAGATGGAGAACGAAGTGCTGAGTAAAGTTGTATTTTCCAATAGCAACGGCGTTCATGACAAAAAGCATGGTACTTATAAGCTATATATAAACAATATCGTAAAATGCAAAGAGCTTATGTTAAACTTCAATAAAAGAACAATATAAATTAATCGAGCTCTTAATATATCAAAAACAATATTACAAGATCAATAAGCAACTAAGAGCTAGTACACTGTTGTTATTAATGTAAGTTATAATTCTCCTTTATTCTAAATAGCTTTATATATTTTCAATAACTTTGCTGTAGAAAAGACTGGAGTAATTGCAATTTTTTAAGAAAAAAGGTTAACCCTAGTATGATATTATTATTTTTGGTTATCTTCCCGCTAACACTAAAGTTTATGAAATTTTACAACTTTATCACGTTATATCTCTCGACTGAATACGTATTTTTTTAGTTCAAAACTTGTGAAATCTATACCTCGAAGTCAGACAAAGACAGATAAATATGAATCAATTAAATAATATTTTATTTTTAATTAATTATGATGCTTCAAAGAAATTTTATTGGAAAAATTTTCATTAAATGACTACTTTGGATAAATTATTTTCAAACTTTTAAATTTAATGTTCAAGCAAAAACCCGTAGGATTTTTTTAGTTGACCCTTTGGACTAACAAAAAAAAAATAGTGCGATATGAATTGCTCAAAAAAGTATAATTATTTAAACTATCGAAAGTCGAAATTTTTGGAGAATTTGCATATTTTAAGTTTACCATTAATAAATACAATTTTATTATTTGAACAATATAAAGAGTAATATTATAAGTAGATAAAGGTTGTACATGTATAAATATTATTATAGTATGTATGATTAAGTTTATTAGTATTTAATTTAGAGGATGATACAACACTCGCTCTAAAGCGATAAATCCGCCCCGGCCGAGCAATCTCCGAAGACTGACAAAAATTATAAAACTTCTACTATTTATTATATTGAAATATAATTTTTTTAGTTCTACATTTTTTCATGTACTTACTTTTATACTATCCGCGAAACTCAGTAAACATATATTTAATAAAAAATAAAGGGGTACCCAGAACATCGATAAGCTAATCATGCATGTGGGTCCCTAGTACCGTCTTTGAATTTTTGTGCATTCTCATATTGAGAATAACGTAAATAAAAATACCCTTGCAGGCTTATCATATCTATGGACAGTTAAAGTTTCTTTTCAACCTCAATTCGGGTCTTCAAATTATATTATAAAAAAGTTATAGCAATGTAAAAAATCGCATAGAGTACGTTTTACCCATGAATACCATACTAGGATTAAATAAAGCCAATAATTATCTTTTATTTATAGAATTCTTTAGTTTTATTCCATTATAAATATAGATCTATATAATTACGAAAGTGTAAACAGAAACAGAAAGTTTAAGATATTTTTTTCCTCCTCTGTCCCATTTCTTTTTTTCTTTCTTTCTTTCTTTGTTTCATGACAGGATAACATAATAACAACAAATTACAAGACTTAAAAATGCAAAATGCCGTGCACACAGCAAGTACATAATGTTTAAATGAAGTATCGCTAGAAAATAAAAGGAACATCGTCGGAAATCATAAAATGCGAACAATGTTATATGTGAGAGAGGAAAGCAGCACGTAATTGTATTGTTCGACTTAATTTTTTAATAAACATTGTGTATTTTAGATTATTGATCTATCGCCTGATAGTCTAATTTATTCTTATTTTCCACTAATGCATATATATGCGTGCAAGTGTAATATATGAAAGAAAATGATAATACTGCAACAGTTTTTGTTAATATTAATTTATGTGCAAATTTTCTAATAACTAAACAATAACTATTAATAACAACTGTTAACGTTAATTAGAAGTTTAATGTAAATTGACTGTAGCTTTAACACATCGCAAGTAGGACGGATATATAGGAGCCTGAAGCTTTTACAATCTGTAAAAATATTATTTGATTATTATAAAATACCAAAATGTACATACGTAAAAATTAAATATTTAAATTTAAATTAAATATTTAAATTGAATATTTATGTAAAAAATGATTTGTTTAACATTTGGCTTATTTTAATATGTTACAATGTAAATATTATAAGAAATATTATTTCTTATTAATCAATATACATATTAAAAAAATATAGAATAGAGATAGAGCGGGGTTAGTCGAGGCAAAATGTAATATGCAAATATCTTTATAACCGAAAAATATATGGATATTTTTATATGCTTGTGTTAGACGGCGTGGGAGCAGAGATTACTGCATTAAATACACTACTCTTGAACAGTGCATCTTACAGAAAAATGTTTCAGAGAAAAGTTTCATGGTTTGGAGGGGGACATAAGATGGTGCTATTGGTTTGATCTTGAAAAGTTGTTTGTAGGTCACGTAAAGGTCATTAATTTCTTAAATAGAATCCCATACATTTTGTTGCATATTCTTATAGCTTACCATAAGAGTTTTTCTAAACACTATAATTAAGTTCATTTTCATTAAGTACTTCCCATGTTATAAGGCAAGTTACAGCACCGCCGGAATTAGCATTACCCAAGGTATCCGACGGCTAAAACCTCTTGAATATTTCTCAGGATCATGACCTGGATAATATTTGTCAAGATCAAGGTGGAGGTTGTTCCTCTTATTTTCATTTTTACATTAAAAATTACATTTCTACGTAAAAATAAAAATAAGAGATATTTTAATAAAATAGAACCTCCAATGGTCTTAATCTTGACAAATATTATTCAAGTAAAGGTCATCATCCTGAACAACATTCAAGAGATATTAACTGTCGATCGGACATCTTGAACTGTATCTTTGAAGTCTTATAACTCGAAAAGTATTTAATGAAAAATAATTTCATTATAGTGTTTTGGAAAGCTTCCGAGGCAAGCTACAAAAATATGTAATGAAATATATGGGATTCCATTATGAAATCGATGCTGACCTTTACGTGACATTCAAACAACTTTCCAAGATCAAACTAAAAGTACCTTCTTACGTCACCCTCTAAACCATATAACTATTGTCTGAAACATTTGTTTTTTAATGCACTATTTAGGAGATATTTTAGTGCGTCAATTAAAATGATACACTCTGTACGTCTATGTAATAGAAAGTATTTGATAATAATATTTTACATATATTTTAAAAATAGAAGACACACTTTTTATATGTATAGATGATTATGGATAAAATAATCATTTGTGCACAAACTGTGTTAAAAAAACAATATAATTCGATTGGTTCTAGAACCTGATTCGTACCAAAGGGAAGCGTAGGCAGCATCTCCGATGCTTTTACTCTATTAAATAATTATCCTTGTAATATTTATACATGTACAGATTGTTAATTAGCAAATATTTTCAAAAATTTGTAAGATACGAAAAAATTTTTCAGGTGAAAGTGAAACGGTTTCGTGGGAAATGTATTTTAGTCATCACGTTTGTTTTTTTTTTTTTAATAACGATATTAAGAAGATATGAAGGTTACTCTATTTTTTTAATTAGAGTTAAATGATTTTTTTTTAATAATATAATTTGTATAATTATTCTATATATATAAAAATATTAAAACAGAAATAAAAAAAAACCATTAGTTTATAAGATATTTTATACCACATTCTGACATATAATGACATAAAATTTTAAATGTTTCGTATGTTACTTTTTAATAATTGTAAATTAATACCTCTATGAATAGAAAAATTGTAGAAAGATTATGTAAAAAAATTATTTAAAAAATAAGGATGACTTTCATATCTTTTTGACCTACTCACCTATAAAAAACAATATGAACAAAAAATACGTCTCCTTGAAACAGTCCCACCTTCATCTGAGATATTTTTTACGTATGTTACGTAATTCTCAAAACATTTGTCTTAGATAATTAAAATGGGATTCTGTATATGTGTGTCTGTGTATATGTATGTTTATATACAAACAATTATATAATAATATTATAATGTCGTGATTAATATAATTGTCCTAATTAATAATCTAGTCTAACCTTAGCGCTTAAGTATTCTCCAGCAAAACAAAATACGAATGCTTCCATATTCATGACAAGGTAAAATAAGAGAATCCTAATTATATTTTTCAAGACGTCGGGTCGACCGATTGACTGGAATATTAAGAAATATTCTAAGAGCAACGGAAAGATAACAAAATACTGAATAATTAAAAGCACGAAATTGTACTCTTTTATTCTGCAAATTCAGCAACGGTTCATACAGTATACATTGCTCTTCATCGTTGAATTGAACAACATTATAATAAATAATACATGATTCATTAAGACTGTATATGTGAAATTATAGTACTTACCGCGACAATTGTAAAACCTAAGCAGCAAATAATCAGAGTATCAGATACAAAGAGCACCATCGCAATATATGAATACAGATCTTCGATATGCTCTGAAAAGATAATGATTTTCTGATGTTCCTTGATTACTTCTTTTACCATAAAATGACTCGAACTGTCTTTCTCTTTCTTCGGAAAAATTCCCATCAAACTCTCACGAAGAATATCGATTTGACCGCCTATATGCAATATCTAAAATGTACGTTCTTCTTAACTATCATGCTTATGGATGTTGAGAAAAAAATATTTTAATGCATAAATTTAATTAATGCCGTACAAAATATTTTAAAATTTAAGAAACAGCATAAGTCATAATGGTCTATATATATATTGTTTTTGATAATATGAACAATAATCAAATATTTCATGAATAAGAATTGATATTAATTGATGACAGATTATTAAAATATCAAGAAATTAATATTATGAATAGTAAAAATAACACATAAAAACGATATCTACTTACACAATAAAACTTACCAGATTTATGAGTAAGGCATTGAATAAACCGATTGCGTCGGCACACAACAGCAAATGAAGAAATTGAATAATTATAACCGATTCATATACAAATCTTTGACTAGTGTCAAATGGTAGATCCATCTCTAGAATGAGCAATCGTGTGGAAACATTGGAAGCATTACCGCCATCCATGTGTTTTACAAAGATCTTGGTGCTAAAAAGAATTACAGCTGTCGAATAAAGAATCACCGTCATGTTAACGAAGCGTTCTGACAGTTTAGCATTGTATGTCGCAAATATACTGAATTTTGTACTGGAACGCTTTTCCCAGTCAATCGCCATCATCGTTAATATCTTACTGAGTGTTCTACAAATAGTTTTATTGGTTATAATCATGATAACACAGCCACAATGAAGCATTATGCAAATCATCGATGAAAAATTTATCGTTATGCAATAACTTCCGGATGTCCATTTATCCTTTACCTTTGCATATAATTTGTTTATTATGGCAATTGTTTTTAATTCTGTTAAGGTTTGTAATTGCCGAATAAATTAATTTACCATTTAAATTGGTAATTGTTGAATGAATATATATTAAGTTGATATTAAATTTATTTAATTAACTTAATGTAAATAAATTGTGTAATTAAACATAATTAAATAGTATTTAAAATAAATTTTTCACTGATAATGCTTATAATATGTGTCTCACCGCTGCGTATCTCACCGCTGTTTATACCAAAAAATGACTAGTGTAATAAAAAATCTCGTATACGGCACTGCTGAACTCAGAACTGTTATTATCTCGAAAAACTCCATCAAATGGAAATGTTTTACGATATATCGATATTGAACAATTTGCTCGAATACGATCGAAATAGTCCAAATCAGTCTACGTAACAAAACGAACGACGCGTTCGGCCAAATACCAAAGATACGAAACAAAATTTCGGTTGCTGGGCTAACAGTATTCTTTACTTTCATATTTCTGTTTATTACTTTTTTATTATTTTACACTGTTAATATGCATCTAATCCGGCAAGAGAATTTAGAAAAAAAACACAGTGTTACGGAAAATACTTGTTCGATCGTACGATGTTTACGATGTAGTGTCTTTGTACAAACTGAGAGCTTGAAAGAGGAGAGTGGAGGGCACCATCCCACGGGTCATGGTTTATTAAATATTTTGATTGCAACGTGTACAGATTGCGTGTAGGTTGTCGATAAAGAAAGAAATTTCCGGATGATCGACCCTCTCCCTCTCAAATTCTTGGGCAAAACGGTGTAGCTCGCAATGCATTATTTTCTTTAAAAATTCAAGCAACAGATAGCAACACGCGAACGTTCACAGGACATTAAACTGTGTTTGGTGATCGTAAGAAAAGTTTTGTATATCCGTGAATAAGGGAGACTTTTTTGAGGAAGAGGGTGGAAGAAACGAATATTTTTCTCTTTCCAAATTTTATTTCCTCAATATTGAATGATATTCTTCCTCGCGCATTATGTAAGTGCGGCTAGTATGCACGCGCTAGCAATTTATTCTCCTGAAATATGTAAATCGCATTATTTTAGACGGAACTCTGATGCATGTCAGATTCAGGTTGCACAATGATTGTGAAAAAGTAAGTCAGAAGTAGGAAACAGAAAACGAAGTGGTGGTGAAGTTTCATATTCCAGTAGCAATGGCGTTACTCGCAAACGACAAGCATAATACTTATGTGCTATATCATAAGCTAGCTATATTATAAGCTAGCCCGGATCTACAATAGATTTTTAAGCCTTAAGCCGTAAGAAATGGACGAATCACAATCGATTATTCTTCTCGCATTCGGCTGTAATTGGTTAATTTCTTATGACTTAAGTCTTAAATCACCTATTGTAGATCCGGACTAAAGAATCGTAAAATGCAAAGAGCTTATGTTAATCTTCGATAAAAGATTGTAATAATATATGTTATAATGGCATTTCAACACATTACAAAAATGTAAAGTAATATCTATTTATGCTAGTAGAGCATTTGTTAAGTAATTATTATTATCGATATTTTAAGCGTGAAAGAAAAATTAATCGATTTAATTATATCAGAAATAAATGGTATATTATTTATAATACTATATTAGTAATCATTTCTTTAATACTATTACTAAGTTTTTTTATTATATATTTTATAATTTTATACTGTGGATAGAGTGTATATATTATAATACTAGAGGAAAGTAGGAGAATTGCGAACACGTGGTAAACACAAACGATATTATTGCAGTATATTCTAGTTGTGATAACTTATTTCTTCAATGACAATCCGATATACGGCTAGTGCTGTACTGTAACTCGTGATCATAGAATGTTCACGCTTCTCGAAGTAAACCACTAAGGTAAACGTCTCAATGATCGGACATGTATCTATTTGTCCGGACACTTACACATAATTTATTATTATTAATCTCAAATTATCTTTTTATCACAATATTATAATTTAGTTATATTTAAAAATTACAATTAAATTATAATATTATATTTAAAAAAACATTTGAGGAGAGATTAATAATAATAAATTTTATTTAAGTGTGTGTCCGGACATAGATACATGTCCGGTCACTGGGACGTTTATCTTATACATTTTCGATAACTTTGCTGTAGAGAAGAATGAAGAAAATTGCAGATGTTTTGTGTTTAAGGAAAATTTAAATAAAGTCAATAATTATTTATTACTTACATTGTGGAAATTTTTTGTTAAAGAATATTGTCTTTACCCTGTAATAATCAATTTTTATATATTATTAATATAAAATAATTTTAAATTAAAAAAATAAAAACTCGATATTACTTTCGTGGCGACGGGAAATTTCATATGACTGTTTTTTTTTTTTTAATTATTGTTGCTGTCGAAGGAAATTTATTCCATCCTCAGCATAAGCGCCCGAACGAAGAGAAAGTTGATATATTAAAGTTACCACTTTTGGACACTTTTACGCGAAGACTATAGATTGTTGTGGCCGTCGTGCAAAGACTGATAATTATAGCATTCGAAACACTGTGATCGATTAGCCATATTCGTTGTTGTGTGCATGCTGAACAAATCTTTCGAATTTTGTTTTATTTAATCCGTGGCTATTATAATATATCGCGAAACTTTTTATATAAAAAAAAATAAATTTTGAATAACTTTATGAAATAAGTTCAAGCCATTTAGAGTTATTATTTGATACTGTATTGCACAAAAAAAGCGATATAGAGAATAATTAGGTTAACTCATTGATGATTCCAGAAGAGAATCAGTTTAAATAGCAACAGGCTGTATGCTAAAGAGTTGCTCAAATTATTCATCAAATCCATTAGCTCATTGCGTTGATGCGGTGAAGAAATATGAAATAAACGTACCGATATCATAACGACAATTAATTTCGCGAACCAGAACAATTTATGCGAAATGATTTACAACATGTCGATTTAGATGTTATATTAAGATTCAAATTACGAATTTTATAGAGAAACATTTTGTACTCGTAACAGTTATTTTCGTAAAATTGTGAGGAAAAAAATTTACTATCAATGATTTTATAAGACATCGAATATATCGGATTTGCCTTGTTTCCTTAATTTTACGAAAAATATTGTTATATATAATTCACTGAAGAACGCAAAAGCGTATTTACAATTAACCGGAAACAATTAATCATTAAATGTTTTCTTGAAAGCAGGCATAAAATAACACACTTAAGACATACTTTAAAATATATAGATGTGGATTTAACTCCATAGATGTTAAATATAATTCTCAATATACGATGAGATCTACATAAACACTACACGGAAGAGAATTTACACCTATAATTTTTGAATGTACAACTATAGATCTACAATTATGAAACTTTAAAAGTTACCAGAAATTTACAAAATTTGTGTCCTTGTTTTGTCTCTTTCTTATTCTTCTTTCTTTTTTTCTCGACAGGGTAACACGATAGCGACGAATTATGAGGCTTAAAAATGCAAGACGCCACGTGAGCAGCAAATGCATAATGTACGAATGGAAGACTCGAAGAAAAATGAAAGAAAAATTGTCAGAACTTGCAAAGTCGCGTTAACGTTGCCAAGTGGGAGAAAAGAAAGCAGCACGGAGTTGCATTGTTCAACATCAATTAATAAACGTCTCGAGTTATTGATCTACTGCCTGGCAATTTTGAGTTTATTCTTATTACCAAAACGCACACACGCAAGTGTATAACACATATGGAAAAAAATGGCAAGTAATACTGTAATGATTTTCGACATTTTTAAATTATGTGCAATTTTTTTTGAGACTAACCAATAACAAACTACCAGTTGTTAACACTCATTAAAAATATAATGCAGTTCCGCTTCAATACATTGCCAGTAGAACCGATATATAGGAGGCTGAAGCTTTTACAATCTGTAAAAGTATTATTTGATTATTATAATAGTATATGTGCGTATACAACAAAAATTAATTAAAATAATAGTTTATTTACAATTTAAAAAGAGAAAATAAATTTTTTGCTTTTTATTTATTCTAGATAATTATTAGTAGAATAATCTCTTCAGTGTAAAATATGTGTTTAAAAGTTTTACGTGTAAAATAATGTGTCTCTTTGAGATAAACTTACAGTGGTAAATTGTCCCAAAGACAAATTCATTATCCTTCCAATTGTAATGGTTAATTGATTTTGCGACCTCATTATCAAAGATAATATAATTCGACTATCCCTAGAATCTGATTCGTACCAAAAGGAAGCGTAAGCAGCATCTCCGATGCTTTTGCTCTATTGAATAATGGATCTTGTAATTTTGAAAACGAATTACGTAATATTCTGCTTATTTATCGCAAACCATATATTCGTCTCAATAACTAACCTTAATACTTAAATATTCTCCAGCAAAACAAAAGATGAACGCCTCCATATTTATAACGACATAAAATAAGAAGTTTCTGATTATGCTTTCTGAAGCATCAGGTCGACCGATCGACTGGAATATTAAGAAATGTCCTAAGAGGAATGGAAAAGTGATAAGGTAATGAATACTTAAAGGCACGAATTAGTGCTCTTTTATTCTGCAAAATTCTATAATGTATTTTCCTCTTTACCGTAGAATTAAACAAAAATATAATACTTACCGCG